ATACTCCGCTCTTCATTCGCTTAATCTCAATAACAAAAAGCATCGTTTTGTTCAGACCAATATATAAATGTGTATCGAAATTGGTTTTATTCTTGCCGCTTCCCCAAATGAATGAAATATGTGCAAAAGTCACTTTTGCGATGATTCGAAACGCTTTAGATTTACAAAGATGGGTGGGTGGGGAAGGCAAAAAGCGATACAATCTGGATCAAATTCCATATTGGCTTCGATATCGATCCATCATGAATGTGTTTACTCGAAACAATTCGACGTTGACTTTGATTTTCTACACCGGATCGAAATTGCTGCTGGTGCTGCTGCTTGAACAGAACATATCTCTGCAGGCGAGAAAATGAATGCCGAGAGAGAGAGAGAAGAATTGTATCTGCTTTACCATGCTCTTCACTATGGCGATTGAAATCAAGTGGAGCAAAAGTGCATTTCGAATGAATTTTAAATTCTATTACATTTTCGATGTGAATAATAGAAATAGAAATATGTGAACAGTCCAGTGCACTTGGAATGTGAATAGAGAGATTGGAATGAAACCGAGAGCAAGACAGGGAGGACGAGAGTGGAAAAAAGAGAGAGAGAGATAGAGAGAGAGAGAGAGAGAGAGAGAGAGAGAGAGAGAGAGAGATAAACGCGATTTCTACACATATATTCCGGAATTGTAAATGTGTGAATGTGGCATTGTTTGTTGGCCATTTCGGAAGCACAGATAATAAAAGAAAAGGGTTGCTGACGATTTAAAGCCAATCTGCATCTACAAATCATCATAGCTATCGTCGTCATACCTTGAAAAGATCGCACTGCCCTCCTTCCCCCCTTATCTTTTTCACTTCGTCTTACTCTCACTCTAACTCTCACTCGGTGTGTTTGCTTGTACAAGACACAGAGTTGATGATGAGCCATTTTACCAGCTCTGCTGCTGCTGCCGCTGCTGTTGATGTTGTTGTTAAATTGCTATTCTAGCCATAGATATGCCATTGTTTTATTTGTGCCGCTTTTTCGCTGTACTTTAGCCATCAATTGCCAATGAATTTGATGGCAAATGACTGAACGCCTCTGATGAATAAATACATCGGGCCATTAACTGAATCACGTATATAACCCAATTTTCTTTTGTTCTTTTCTGAACGAATACTCAATACTTTACCACCGACTTTCACCATGCCCATGTACACATCCACCGGCTGGTTACCATTTTACCTGTGCTTCATGCTCTCATGCTCTTTCTCATACATAGTCTCTGTCAAGCAATGTAGGTATGCTTTTGCTCTACCTTTCGCATGCTATTTTCGGTGTGCAAACCCCATTCTACATTATTCAATATTTGAGTGAGAGAGAAAGAAAGAAAGAGAGAGAGAGTACGCGAGAGTGTTAGAGTGTTCAGTGCGAATGTGTATCTATGCGCCTCACTGTAAATTGCAAAGGCATACGAGAGAAAATTGCCAGCACTTTGCGACGTAAAAGCATTAATCAGTGCACAAAGTTCAGACGGCAAATAATATCGTTGTTATTGGCTGTGTAAGTGAGATTGAGCTTGATGATGTTTTTGTTGTTGTTCCGACTTGCTTTTGGCTCTTTTCTCTCTCACACTCTGTCGCTTTCTTTCATTTTATGTGCTCATCTTAGGTTCAATTCTTCGTATTTTTTTTTATTTTTGAAACATTTATTGATTTATTTGGATGTGTTGCTTTCATTTTGATCCAATTAAGACTAATAGAATTTTTGACGTTGCGATCACACACCTATTCACATTCGATTCGAGCCCAAAAAAAGCTCTTGTCGTGTGTGTGTGTGTTTGTGTTATGGATTGCCAAGTGTACAAAATAAAATGTCGACCATTTGTTTTTTCTGTTTGCTCTATCTCTTTTCAGCCATCCAACCATTAGGCAGTGTATTTGTTTTGCATGAGTTTTACGTTGCTGAACAGAAGGAAAAAACACCTTCCTTTTTCGGTTATTAAATCACAAACGTGCAAAATACACGACACTCGATTCGTTCTCGATTCGGAATAATCATCCGCCGCATCGGAAAATATGTCTGAACTGCTTTCAATGCTATCTGATTGACGTTAAATTAAGCAACATTATTATTCTGATGTGTGTGCTTTGTCTCTTTGCTCTCGCGCGCGACTCTATCGCCACGGCCATTCGATATCGGCGGTGGATCGGGTTGGGGAAGTGCATCATCATCACCACCGGATACCATTGATCCGGTTTACAACCCCATAAATAACTTGAAATGTATCTATTACCGCAATGACAAACATCGCTAATATTTGATACACCACAGTCTAAATGTTATGTTGTTCATTAAACGAACATATCCGTTCGACACGCTCTCACGTTCGGTGTCTCTCTCTCTCTCTCTCTCTCCCTTCGCTTGTATTGGATCTTTTTTTGTTCTGCACTCGCTTTTGCCATCATCTTGCGTCTTTCAATATCCGGCTTTTGTGCTATATCCGACCTACAACATCGTTGTAGCTCGAAATTACGTGAAAAAATGTGCCATTTTCTTTTCCCTTTTTTTCTCTACTTGTTTTTGTATTTCTTCTCGTCTTTTCATCGCTTAATACCTCTGTACATATTTATTAACTCTCTGAAGATTTAAACGATTCTCGAAAGTTAAGCATTGTATGCTTGAATTGCATACATTCACCGTGTCACTCGATCTACAGGCGAGCAAGCTAACGCGTATGTGAGCGAGAAAAAAGAAAGGTGCGAGTGTTCAAAGCTCTTAAGCAGACATCAAATACATTCTATTTTTTTTCTTACCCTCGATGAATACGAATACGAAACGATGAAAGCTGGAAGGGGAAAGAATATACACCGCGCGCGGATGTATTAACCGAATGAAATGAACAAATTGGAAAAAAAACCTCGCCAAACGAAACACATGAAAGAAAAAATACAGAAACCGAAGAGAATGAGAAGACAAAGAAAAAGAACCAATAGAAGAAGAAGGAAAATTGTTGTTTTCATTTGTTGCATTTTTCAACGAATCGAAGCAGGTATTTAATGATGTCACAACGATAGATAGAGAAAAAGAAACGAATCAAAAAAATACGAATGAACGCGCTATCGAAAGAAAATTGGGAATAATTCGATGCACGTTTCACGAATTTCCAATCGCCACTCAAACACATACTAAAGCTTGTGTATTTTTACAGATTTGCATTGATTTGCCGATGTTCGTTCCACAACGAACGACCGATCGACTAACACCAACTAATACTTACCCGAATCATGGTGCTACTGTGGTATTCATCACCATAGCTATCGTTGTTGTCGTCGCCCAGTTTTCCTTCTGATCATCGTTTTCGTTCCATAAATTTCTTATTGGATTTCTTTTTATCTTCCTCTCTCTTTCTCTGTCTCTGTCTCTGTGTGTGTTTGTGTGCATCGCATTTTCGATAGCATCGTTTCTTATGCGAACGAGTGCACACTGCACACACACACACACACCCAAATGCAAAGGATTACGACAATTTAATTAAAATTTTCACAAAAAGAAATTTCCAAATGACGTTCCACTTTTGTTTCGAAAAGTTTTATTTGCACAAACTTTGCTCATTGTTTGCACGGGTGCAATGAGCGGGTGGGACGAAAGCGAGCACGGTGTGCCGTAAGTTTCGGCACTTTCTTCGGAGATCGGGAAAGAAAGTGGCGCACAGTGGCGGTGTCGTCGAATCGAAGAATAATGACGGAACTGATGACCTCATGCAATGGATGATGCTCTTTACTTTAAACTATTTTCAAATTGTGGGATTGACGACTTTCAGGGTCGTTTGAACGAAAAACGTGATGAAAAAAAAGAACGCACAAGGAGGTAAAACAACGAAAAAACAGAAACCAATCCATAAAACGCAAATCGTCCATGGATCCTTCACGTCTTCTTGTCTTCTTTAGCTTTTCGTGTGTGTTTCAGTCTCTCGTTCAATGGAAGGATTTTTTTCTTCCATTGCTCGCTCGCTTTCTTCTTACTACGATGTGCATGGAGAGTACAAAATGCCATTAAGAGCATTTCTATAGACTTTTAAATTGTAAAAGTTGTGTTTGCTCTCGAGTTACGCAAACACTAAATGGAAAAAGAATACGAACAAAAAAGCACCTGAAGTAGTGCGCTTTGTTCGGTTAAATCTCATGCAATTGCACATTTTTTTTTATCGTCATCGTCTTTATCGTCGTCGTCATCGTCATCAGCGTCCGTTAGTCACCGTTGAAATGGTGTGGTGTCTCTTCTGCACTGGAGCAAAGTCAGGCAGGTAGGCGGGCAAGTAGTGCGAGGACAGAGACACACTGCGTATGTCTGCTGTAGTAGTTCGGTGTCTTTTCTGTGCGAATAGCGCGGGATGTGGTTCAATTTGCAATTTGTTGGTATGCTTGGATGCGTTGCGAGTGCATTCGGTCGACTGATTCATCAAGAACTGACATGAGAGCATCTCAATTTATTCATGACCCCAAAATGGATGGCATTGCATTTAAATGCCGCCGCCAAATGTAACCAGTTTTCGTTCAAAGAGGTGAAATTGTCGTCGGTATTCCACCATATCTATATATAAATGTATTCGGCGCATCCATGCCGAATTTGCCATCTCACCCGTTCGCCTGGCCAGGGTTGAGAACGACAACGATGATGATGACGACGACGACGACCACAGCAACGATGAAAGTGCAGAGATGCGAGAGAGTTGTCACGATGCGCTATTTGTCATTTGTGTTGTTTTGTGGCAAATAGTCAACAACGAGATTCCGTACGAAGACATCTGCAATCCACACTCACGCAGAGGGCGAGAGCTAAAACGTGAAGGATAACTTATAAACCTTGCTATATAGCTCTTAATTTTAGCAAATGGACCAGTGGGTGAGAGATTAAAGCTCTCCCTCTCTCTCTCGCTCTCTTTCTCTCTCTCTCTCTCTCTCTCCCTCATCGAATCAACTACAACGGAAACTGGTTTAAATTGAATATTCTGAACGAGCTGCTTGGTAATTTGTATATCATTAAAATTTTATTCATATATTTAAATTTTAAACAATAATTGATAAATTTAATATTTGATTTTCCTGTTTTTTTGTGTGTCTGTGTGTGAGTTCAATTTTTTATCCACGTCATCGACATCTGTCTATCATTTATCTCTTACTATTTCTCTAATGACCTTAATCTTTTAAGTTGGTAAATTTTTTTTTCTTGTTTTTTCTTTCTTGATTTCATTTGATTTTTTCTTTCTTAGTTCTGTTAATCTTTGTTTTTCTTCACCATCTTCTTCTAAAAACAAATAAGATACATGGATACAATTCATTAATTCTATTTAAAAATGTATACAAGTTTTTACGTTATTTCAAAAGTTATTACACATTTTTTTTTGTAAATTGTTTTTTCTTTCATTTTTTCTGTGTATTGATTTGAATGTGATCGCATCGTACACGATTCACGGCAGTGCGCAATCATGCGGACGGACTCACACACATGTTATAAAATGACAAAAAGACTAGACAAATCCAACGGAAAGCGTAATTTTGAAACATTTTTGTTTGTTTTGTTTTTATTTTTTTTTTTTTTTGGTTTTATATATAAATACATTGATTTTGGCCAGCACCTTGAATACTTGTATAAGCAAATTTAAAAAAAAAATGGAACGATTTTTTTTTCCTAATTTTACAATAACATTCTGATCGGTCACCCATTTAAATAATTCACATGGTTTTTTTTGTTTGTTCTTTCATTTTTGTTTAGTTCATTTTATCTAGTATATTTAGTATAACAGAATCTCTCTCTCGTTGTTTTACCTAAATGAATGTTGTTGATTTTTTTGTTTTCTCATCTCACAAAACGTATACGTATCATCGGTTTCGGAAAAGTTTGGCCAAAAAGAAAACGGAAAATAGTCATTATATATATATATATAAGTCTTTCGATCAGATCCTTTATCTGCGTTGATACATCTACAAATAGAATACACATGTATAGATAGTGTTGTACATACAAACAAACACCGTATGTATACTATGTGTGGTATAGTCAGTAGTAGAGCTGAACCGACAAAATTTTGATCTCTTTTTGTTGGTGTGTGGGTGTTTGTGTTCGGTACGAGCCCAAACCATCACCATTACCACGACTACCGAAAATTTCCCAACGGTTTGGCAATATTTCACATCTTAAACTAATAAATGGATTAAATCTCTAAATGAAGCCAAAAACTCGAATATCCGATTTGTGGTTCGTAACGAAAATTTGACTAGTTAACAAACACCGAAGGAAAATTCCGGTCGAATGGCGTGTACCAACTTTTTACGGGCTACTACTTCACATTTAACTTGCTTTTTTGCTTGCTTGTTTGGTTCGTGTAGACTTTTTTTCCACTCTTTCTCTCGTTAAATTCTTTTCTCTTGGTTTTTTGTTGTTACTGGAAATGGTTTAGCGAAGAATGAATTTGAATGTTGTATGATTTGCTGAGGGTAAAGGTTGAAAGTGATTTGAAATGGAAAAAACACATATAAAGAGTTACAAATTCAAGGAGGGAAGACGAATTGAAAAAAAAAACGGTGTTTTTTCCTTGTGCTTTACTTTGCTTCATTTTATTTGTAATTTGCATGTTCGTTCGAAGAAAATAAATATACATATTGAATTTTTCATATCGAAAAGAATGACACGAAGTATTTTCCAAAGAAAAACATCCGTTTTTTTTCCTTCACGATGAAGGAAGAAGAGAAGACGAGAGAAGAAAAGTATCGAGGTAGAGTGACATTCCGTTTGTCAAACTCGTGGAAATTTACATTGGTTTATATATACGTATAGCACAAAAAGAATATGCACACATAACTCACAAAACTCTCTCTCTCTCTCTCTCTCTCTCTCTCTCTCTTACTCGCTCACTCGATCACTCTTTGGAAAATATTATTTTCTTTCTTCTTCATTCGAACAGAGAGAAAAACACAATGGTAGCACATACACATCGCATACATAATATTTTACAATATTCAGCTCCACCTTCTTGTATTCAACTCTTTATATCAATACTGCCAATTTAAATGATTAGTTTACATTGATAAAATTTGAATAAATACGGAAATATTTACGATGCGTGTATTTGTACACAATACCGCAAACTTGCACCCACATCAATGCATTAACAAAATGTACGTTCGATGGATATTGGAAATATGTACACTACGTCGCACGCCACAATGGCGGTAATAGCAGCAGCCTTCGATTTTGATTCAATTTCTGTTTCGAATGTGCGTTTGTATTGGTGTGAGTGAGTGAGTGAGTGAGCAAAGTGTGTGGGAAATCGGACAGAATTTCAAAACGTTTGTCACCACGAAATCAACGGCATTGGTGGGCTTAAATGGCCGGTTTCACCACAGTTATTTCTAATAACTGCGCATTTCAAAAACCGCTCCATTGCGGTCACACTTTTGCCCAATTAACATAATTCAAAGTACGAGCTTTTGAAAATTTAGATTCCTATTTTTCCGCTCTTCCATCTCACTCTCTCTCTTCGATGTGTCGAGCTGGGTTATGATGAGTCGTTTGTGTATTTTCCGCTTGATTTGTGCCTATTGTGATTATGATAGCGGGGACGTTTGCAGTATTTATGTGAACATTTTTTTTGTGGGGGGCATTTTTATATTGATTTCAATTGATATTATATGCATATATATTTTTTTTAATAAATATTGTCAGCATACTGTTTTTGAAAGTGTCGTTGGGGAAGACAAAAAACTGTGACAAATGAAAAATGCTCAAATTGATTGCAATGTTATGCTTCAAGCAATTCGAGCGAACGTCCGAGTGCGCGTCTGTAGACTGTGTGTGTGTGCGTACGAAAAACATACGGTTGGATGCCGTTGGCGGGAAAGCTTTTCAGCGAAGCGAAAAACAATTAGTCACCGAATGAATGTATAAAAAAAAGGGCAGAGCGACCCTTAATTGCAGCAACAAACGCAATTTTATAAACCAACGAATAAAATGGCTTACAAATGGCCAAATAACTGCGTGTCAGCTACTTTCGTTTGATGCGATTGCGAATGATTGAAATGAAGCGTTTGCGACGGACGTCCAATCCCTCCGCTGTCTCTCCACCACCGTGCTCTTCCTTTCGTTTGACCGTAAAAAACAAACGGGTCGATCCAACCATTTCTTTTCATCGGCCTTTTACAGTTTTGCTTTGTCGCGCTCGTCGTCGCTTGTACACCATATTTCATTGAATGTAATTAAAATTTTAATTTTAATTTTACAGCACAAATGCATTTATTCATTGGCATTGAGAGCATTAAGAGCATTGTTTGAAGCCCGTCCAGCTGTATTTTTTGTTGTACTTTTGCTGCGAAAGCAAGCCTCCCATCAAATCTATTTCAAATTGCCCGATGGTTTTTTTTTTCTCGCGTTTTTGTTGTTACTGCTGCTGCTGTTCTGCTGATGTTGACACATATATACCAACAACAACTACAAAAAATGAAACATTTAAAAGCAAAATAACGGAAATGATTAATTGTTGAAAATGACAGCTTATTGCAATAGATTTTTTTCTGTTTCGTTCTGTTTGTCACACAATCAACGCGCACGAACGATTCAAAATCAGTATCGAACAATATTTAAATGGTTTTATTACATAAAAGGGTTGCTTTTTTCATCTCTTTCGTTTTATCTGTTCACAATTCAATAGCCTGCTGAATAGGCAGATGTTATATGAAATCACATAAGTTTATCGGTAAATGATTTTGCGATAGAATTCCTAAAATTTCATTTATTTTAATTTCTGCTATGTTCATTTTTTTTTCTCTGTCATTCTGTCACTGATGCTCATGTCGCCAGAATATGGTGTTGTTCTGAACGATTTTTGATGTTAATGCTCGCATCTATTCTTTTGTATTTAAAATTGTTTTTTTTTTTTAATTTTTTTCAACTTTATCGTTATCGAGAGAAAAAAAAACGGTTCTGTCGAACGAACGAAATACGAATATTCTTTCTCGAATAGAAGCCTCTCACTTAATTGTATCATCATTGAGTGTTGTGTATTTATTGGAGCATCATTTTGCCATTGCGCTTGATATAGGTATAGGGATGAAAATGAGTGAAACGATTTCCTATTATTTATGTATATATATATATCTTTGTTTGTTTTTTTTTTCTCAGTACAATTCGATTTAGAGTTTCGTGATCGAGTAGCACTGTGAGTGTCAGTGTGAGTGTATTTGTTTTATTTTGGAATTGACGGATTATTGGCAATAACGAGACAATTCGTCGTTTTTTTTCGTCCGCGCAATTCTTATTTTCTCATCATTTTATTCCCTTGTTTATTATTATCATTTCGTCGTCTCCCCGTTTGCGCATCGTTTCCTTCGTTTCCCTTATTCTTCACTACTCTTCTACTTTCATATTCATTTTCCGTATTGCCTTCCCTCTCGTTTACACTAAATGCAATGCGGTTTCGAAAATGAGCAATCGAAACAAGAGAGATTTTACAAAAGATTTGGTGGCAGAAGCACTTTCAAATGGTTTTTGTAACCATTTTGCGTGTATTTTCGATTCATTTCCATAAAAAGTGAATCGCTTTAAATGCTTCTTATGTTTTCCATTCCGGTCCTGAATTTATTCCTATCTAACTGTTTCGATTGAATAAATTAATTCATCTTACCCAATGAACGAGCGACCGAGGCGAACGAACGAATGAGTGGTTGAATGGCGTTTGTGTGTGTATTTTGTGTCGCTAGAGACTTTCGGTGGCCAGCACACAAAATTCATTTGGAACATTGTATTTCATTGTTTTGTGTGTTGATGAATGCGTTTTTAGTCCCCCATTTATCGGATGAACCATCGCTGCTCTTCGTGTGCCGAATTTCGTTGTACTCGCACTTTATTTCACACTTCATTCCATTAGCAACTAGCCATCGTTATTCGAAATTTTCTCTTGACTGATAACACCATAGGGGTATTGCAACGACCATAAAATATATGTATTTCATCAAGTTTATCAAGCTCTTTCCAAGTTTATGCGTAGTGTCGAACTTTTTTTCAAGCTCTACCATCTAAAAGTACAGTAAAATAATTTACGGGCACGACGTAAGATGGCGTTTTTTCTGGTCAAAAAAGTTGCAATATCCCTTTGGATAACACAATTTTCTCTTTTTCCCTCTCTCACTCTTCGTCATTCTCTTTTGTTTGTTATCTCGTTATTATTTTGCATTTTCTATTTATTTTCTTGTTGAGCATTTCGTTAGATATACGATAGGTTTTTGTTGGTTTTTTCCCTTGTTGCTGCTGCTGCTGCTGCTATGGTTTTTTTTTACTCTTCGTCTCTTCGGTTTTGCGCTTTGTTCGGGAGTCAAATCCGGGTGAATTTTAGGCCGTGGAACACGAACAAAAATTGTCCAAATAAGCTCTCTCTCGCTGTGTGTGTTTCGAAGAGTGGGACCTCCGTAATAACATTTCGAAAAGCTAGAAAAATTAATTAAGGAACACACAGTTTCAACACACAATGGAAGCGGAATAGACGAAGACGGAATTGGAATCGGAGAGTTGACGGTGACAGTGACGACGGCGGCAGCGATAGTGGCAGCAGTAGTAGTGTGGTAGCAAATAGCAAGAGTCAAAACAAAAGAAATCAAATACTGAGTTGTGTTTGTTGCTTTGTTGCTGTTGCTGTTGCTGTTGCTGTTGCTGTGGGGCAAACCTATTCTGTTCTCACAAACTATGTGTATGTTATCTCATTTGAACTGAGATGTGTTGCATCGAGAGACCAGTTGAGCGTTCTCTCGTTTCGCGTCCCATTATCAATATCACACACTTAATTCTCTCTTTGCTCCTGTCTCTGCCTCTGTCCTTCTCTCTCCCACACTCTCTCTGTCCCCTCAAATGCACGGTCCATATTTTCTCTTTGTTCGGTGTGTATGTTCTGTTCTTTTCTAGCCAAATACTGTTTGAGAGTAGTTGAAATGTGATAGATTGTGAATTTTAAGCGATTCCGTTGTTTGCTATTTTACTTTTTACTGGGCTTGGTTTGTGTGAGCTTGTTGTTAATATCATTTCATTTATAGTCAGAATCTTGTTGTATTATTTGCTAATGTTCTGTCACACAATGCATTCGAGGAATTTTCCATTCTTGTTGGTGGTGGTGGAATTTCGGGCACCGTTTGCAACAATGAAGCGGGATGCTTTGAATTCTGTAAACCAAGAGATGAGAAAGCGAAGAGAGAGAGAAAAAAAGTGAATAAATAAATGAGAGAATGAAACGCACGACATACAATTGAAGAAATGGGCAGTGAAATAGAAAAGTGGAATAGACAATGGAAGAAAATTAAAACATGCAACCCACACAAGACTATCTATGGTGTTGTGCAATGGTTTTGCTCGAAAATGAAATGCATAATATCCCAGCACGAAGAAAACTACGATAGAAAATTAACAAAATGCTTTGTTGACAAAATAACATTGACTTCCTCTCATTCATTCATTCATTCACACTGCACTCTGTTGTACACCCTTGCACTCGACCACACACACTCACTCACTCACCAAAAATGTCATCAATTACAAATATAACTAGAACCTGAACAACACTCCATTTCGAGTGACAATGAAGTGACCGCAATGTTTCAGGAGCTCGGAATAACCAGCTCAGTCAGAACGAATGCCATCAACAAGAATTAAATATAACGACAATTGATGAAAATATAATGGTTATTAAGACTTTTTACTTGTCGACGTGCATACCAATCAGATTTGGCCATCGGTGGCCAATGACACAAACACACACGAACACACACGAACACATACAATTAGTAAAAACATACACGCTGTGTGCTACTGTTTTGTAATTTACATCGTAGCTGAAAGCTCATGCATGAATTGAGGTGATTTTCAGTGTTCGCGCATCAACCTGCGAATAATGTGAAAGTTAGCATTATTTTTTCGTATGAATTATCTGCTTCGTACGTGGCACATTTGATGTTCCAATGCAATACAAAAAAAAAGCAGCTAGCAGGCGAAACGGGGATAGGAGACGCGCAGGGTGAGTGGTATACCATTAAATTTTCTTCGTCTAATATAGTCGAATGGTTACGGTGGTGCATAAAATTTGCAAGCAATCTGCAATGAAAATTGACTAACTTCTAAAGTACATTTTCACTTGAACTATCCCGAAAAACATGAAAGTCGCTTGCGAATTGGAATTGCATAATTTGCAAATTTGCATCAACTCATTAACTTACAAGTGCCAGAGGGAAATGAACATGGAAGTTTTCGTTTTTCAGAACGTCAAGACACACACATACATTCGTATATCCAGAAAATGTAACGGCATCTCTAGGATGCATATATTGTGGATATCGAAGGGATAGAGTAAGAGAGAGAGAGAGAGAGAGAGAGAGAGAGAGAGCCGAAAGGCAGACGGGCGGATTACTTTCGATGAACTTTACCAAATCGATTTTCCATTGAAACGCATAAAAGCATAACTGAAACCGCACCGATTATATTGTAATGGCAAATGTAATCAATCAAAGACGAGCTTCCGCAATACTCAGCAATCACAAAATAATAACTTCGGGAAATGATTTTAAATTATAAAACATTTCAACAACTAATTTTTGCTATATTCTCTGTATCCCCTCACCCTTCCAATTTACATTCATTCATCCACTTATACACTCACTCACTCACTCACTCACTCACTCAGTTGTTCGTCTCTATCGATATTAAATCTTGTGTGTCGTTCGTAATAAAAAGCCATATAGCTACATTGTTGCTATTTGTTGATAAGGTAGCGTGCGCAGTGTGGTTCTGTTATTGTTGTTGTTTTCTTCAATTTTCATTCACTCTATAATTTATTTTTTTCTGTTTTTTTTTCGTATTATTTTTAATTTATTTATTTTTACCATGAAAATATTTCATAACAAAAACAGTCGACGAAACAAAGCACAATAGAAGCTCAAACTGAAACTGAACTGGAATGAAATGAAATGAGAAACAAAAAAGAAAAAAAAAATTGGTGAGAGAGCGAACGAGAGAGAAAAAAAAACATCAACCACGACCGGGAAAAAAAATCAAAATGAAAAATGAAATTAAAATGATCGAACAAGGCAGGAGAGCAACAATATGACGAATGAAAGCAACAAAAAAAAAATATGTATGAAATAGTCGTGGGTAAAAATCAAGGACTTTTTTTTTCTCTCTCATTCATTGTAAATTAAATAAAAATGCGTTTGATACCGTTGTGTCATTGGCAATGTCCCTTTTGTTGGTGCTACTACAGTTGTTGCTGCTGCTGTTGCTACTGCTGGCTGTTGTTGTAATGGTGTTGTTGCCATCACTCGTCGTATCATTTGAAGCGTTTATTAAATTAATTGTTGGCCGGTTGGCAAAAACAGCTGGTGGAGGCGGAAACGTAGTCGGTAATTGTGTTGGATGAGATATTGTTACACCAGTTGCGCTATTCGCTATGTACATCGAATTGGCTGCATACATCGCATTTGGCCGCGCCAAATCGATCTGTTGTTCACGCGGGTTGCGTGAGTGCAAATGGTTTTCCAAGACAGTTTTCGAATTGAAGTAGGATGAAACGAGAGAAGGAGAGTAAAAAGAATGGAAAAAAATTAATAAGTGATGGGACAATGTTTTTGTCACTGTCACAAATGATGTTATTTTTTGGTCTATGGCGCTAGCATATGTGTTGTTGTGGTTGATATTTGTGGATAATTCACAAAAAACATTATAACAAGCGTTTGTGTGTGTGTGTGAAATAAAAAAAAAACGAGCATCACTTTACAAAAGCAGTTGCTCATATAAAAATATTTTCTACAATTTGAGTATTTGGTGGCTTTTATTGCGGTTGGCATGATAGCATGAGTATCTATAGCTGCAACAAAACTCATTCAATCAATTGGAATTCCGAAACATACAATATTGCCTCGATTTCCGTTTGTATAACTATTGTGCCGTTGCAGTATTCCTCCCATCCTAAGTCCGGCTGGAAATCGTTTCATTGGCAATCACGTATCATTTTATGCACCATGAAACCAACACACACATACACAAACCCATAATAAATTCTGTGAGAGACACGTATGTATGTGTGATGGCTAAAGCCACCGGAAAATCTTGATGTGGTTACCAATTTACACAAACGCACATACCCACAATAATTCTTTGTTCAAACCACAAATTGATTATTATTTGTGTTGAGATGAAAAGAAGCCTTATTTAACACTACTCCGCAACTAACTGCAATGGTTGAGAAACGGAGGAACAATGTGCATGAAACAAGCGTGAACGAGCAAAACTTACTGTCGAGAATGGTACAAAACTAAATCAAATAACAACATCAATATTGCCAGCAGGTCTCTCTCTCTTGCTCGCTCATTCGCTTCATTCGTTCGTTCGTTTGTTCGCTTCTCCACTTCAGCCCATCGGCAGGCAGCTCAATCGTTTTCTCGCAAATTTTCATTAAATGCAGCCATAATAAAACCGAAAATTATTTCATAAATTGGCATGTATTTCTACACAAAATAAATTAACACAATGAAATCGAATACCAAAAACCAAAGCCTCTCTCGCTCTCTCTCTCACTTTATAACTATCGATGGAAATAAGATCAAAGAGAGAGAAAGAGTGAGTGAATCCAAAATCAAGATAAACGATTTTTTATTCCACTTGTTCGGCTGCATTGAAATGCTCCGTTTCTCAGCGCTAACGGCTTCCAAAGAAATATCTAGTATATACGACGTAAATGTATGGATAATCGAGCGAAAAACTTACTTGAGCATAGATGGTTGGTTCCTGTTGTTTCATGCTTGATGTTCGTGGTCGCCCTAAGGTCGATGTGAAATGAACTCGTTGCACTGGCGAAGTGACCATAAGTTCGGCATAAGTTAAATCCTGCAAATCGCCCAACAACCAAGAAAAAAAAATTGTATTACAATAAATGTACGGGGTAAAAAACCGACATGGTTCACATTTACAAATAAATTTGGTGCAAATTTTTCGCATACATTATTTCACACAGTGTTGTTTCGGTCATGCGACCTCCCGTACGACAGGTCAGACGTTATTCGATCTGTGTGCACTGTATTTATGTATAGATATGCAATCGACAGACACACACACACACAGTTCGATACTCGCCTCCCACAGGGGCTGTATAGCGCGTTTCGATCACGCGCGCTAACAACCCGAACGTATGCGAGAGTGCAAATTTTATCTTTGGCGAGAAATATGAACACGTCTTGTAAATATTTGCGAAATTTTTATTTGAGTCTTTTTTTCTAGTGCCATCGTCGTTATCATCGTTGGCTGTTGCTGCTGTTTCTGTTGTTGTTGTTAATAAATGCAAATAAATGCGCATGAATATGCGCGCCATTATGTGGCCACCAACCAAACACATTTTCAAACAACAACCATAACAGCGAGAAAAAATAAATTCCACGTGGTCTACACGTTTTTCCACAAAAATAATTCGCTCACTTTCGTACGCCAGTCAGAATGCTAAATTATTTCGTAGAAAACGTATGGAATTTGAAATTACTAAATTTGGTGGCGGTTTTTGTTCGTTTTTTTCTTCTTTTACTTTCTCTTTCCCGCTCAGTACGTCTCTGAAAAGTGTGTACGCGGTTGAGTTTGAATTGAATTGAGCGCATATTTTATTAATAATGTAAATAAGCTTTCGAATATTTTGAAGAGAAATTGTTTCAAATCTAATATTCATGTAGGTATATGAGCGTTTGTGTGTGTTGGGAGTGGTGGTGTTGAAGTTGGCGGCAAATAAAATCGGCACATTCCAGAATGGAAATGGCCCCTAGATGACCCATACCCGTTGACTTGGTTCATACATGTATGCATCCGGTGCATTCCTAACGCCAAAATCATGTGAAATGCCAATGCACACGATGCATGCCGTTGTATTCATGCTGTTTGAACATTGAATTGCATATGCATACATGTATATTCATCGGTCGACGTAATCCATATATTTTCCCACATACTGATGCCTGCCTTCGATGATATTATAAATATTGTCGGGGTTGATTACGTTGAATATAATGTTTGGCAAAAGCAAAGCCATTATTAATTGTAAATCAACTGCATAAATGCAGTTGATTGTTCGGGTCACAAGGCCATGAATCCGTCGTAATGGTACACATGGTATGCTGCACGGATGCGAGAGAGAGAGAGTGAGTGAGAGAGAGAGAGAGGGAGAGAGAGTGAATCGAATGAAAGGCAGCACATACTAAAATTGAATGAATGCGCCTGCAGTGCAAGAGACGACTGCTGTGTTTTCATCGTCCAAAACGGATGGATGAGTTTATCGGGGCCGAAACAGCTTCCAGCATCAAAACTGACGACAAACTAGAATGCCACAAATCGAGGCCTATTGAAAATGCGGCGCCGGTTTCACCTCACTTCATTCTTTCTCTTACTTTCGTGCTAACACATTTTGTGCTAGCCGGTTCGTGCCATTTCGAATGCCTAATTTCCGATTGAATTATTACGAGTCGTTAAAAAGTCATCGCAAATGGCCCGCTTTAATTTATTTAAAATAACCAATTCGCCGTCTCTCTCTCTCTCTCTCTCTCTCCCTCTATTGTCATTTGTGTGTGTATTAGGCGAGACGGACAATTTGGATCGGCGGTGAACAAATATGAAGGTGGACAGTAGTGGCGTGCGAGAGGAAGATAAAATAATTACATTTGGACACATTCATTTTTCGTTTGTTTTTGTTGGTTGCTCCGGCGAAACTTTTTGAACATTTGTTTCGTGTGCTCTTTCGCCGCACAAACAAACACACACACATACACGAGTCCACGTACAACCGCGCGCGCGTTCCATCAAAAGTAATACCGGGCAAAGGAAACAAATTACGTTTTAGATGTGCATTTTGGAATAGTAATATTTTCTACCATGGACCATGGCCCTCCGTTCACTTCTCGATCCAAATTGATCGTCATTTGTTCTTTTTTTCGTGTGTACCACGACGCTTTCGCTTTAACCATTTTCCCTTATGCCCTTTAGCGAATGGCTTGGCGTTTGGTTACACTCCGTACACACACAGTCACACTCAAATTAAATAAAATAGTATTTTCTAGTTTTAAGGAATGCACTCGGAAATGGTTTTGCCTTCGTGCCTCATTCCATGCCATGTGTATTCATTCGTTTGGTTTGGTTTGGTTTGGTTTCTTCCTCCCTTTTTTTGTCATTCGCTTCTCACTTCACTTTCCGCACATCGTTTTCATTTGATTTCAATTCGACTCATTGTTGGCCGCAACACAGTTGCAGGCGGAAGTAGCAACCGTCGTTGCCGAAGTGTACACCGATGTTGGAAGTAGTGAATTCGTTGCACAGAAAAACGAAGATATATATATATATATAGTCGATGGTTGCTATGCGTACGTTGATACATGATCCAGATGAGGCAAATAATCGAAATATATTGCACATGTGCTGCCGCTTCCGTCGTCGTGGTTTGCGTTCGCAGATCACATAACAGCTTTGAAGCTGCTTCGGTTGCCACTTGACTGTGCACTACGCTCGTGCTCGTGGCTGTGCTCAAGTGTGTTTGTGTATGTGCCTGTGTGTGCGCGCTCAAAAGTAAATGTGTTCGAATTTATTTCGCAAAATATTCGGGTTCATTTTCAAACCGATGGCATTGAGTATAAAACATCACCGAAAAAAGCACACACTCACACATTCGCACAGCAAAATCGAGCTGAAAAGCAATAAAAAATTAAATAAAAATCGAGTTCTCGCTTACAAGCGAGCGGGCGAGCGAGTGTGCAAGAGAATGAGTGTTCAAAAGGGGGAAGAATGGAAGCAGTTGAATAATTTTGAGTGTATGGTTCTGTACGGTGTCAGTGGTGAATGCTCATGCGAGATATCATCGGATGCAATTTGATATGTTGTTTAGAAACGTGTGTTTATCGACGGTTTGGCGTTCAGTTTGCACACGAAAACTACAATCACAGGCTCATCCACAGAGCACATGAATATCACTATAAAAATAGATTATATGAATATGTTGTAGATTGTTATTTTATGGATGTGCTGCTAACGGCATCACACACAGTTTTTTTTTATTGCTCTTTCTCTTTCTCGCTCTGTCTATCCCTCTACGCCCGGTCGGGTCGGGTCTCGTCCGTCGTTGTGCACACAACGAAATGGGAACAGAACGAGCGAGCCAGCAAGCAAGCAAGCCAGGCACATTGACTATATAGAGCAGCACACATCAGCTTTCTGGAAGTGAACAATTTTATACCTTACACACATCGTTTCGTTGCATATTGCACATATATAAAACATACATAATTTTACGACGAAATACACACATATCCATTAACCATAAATTACGGGGCGAGTTAAACTTTAGACACGCATCGCACAAGCCGAATGATGAAAAAGTGATGGCAATGGCAAAAAAGCACGACAATGACGATGGTAATGGCAACGTGAGATGGGGAAGCGAGAAAGAGAGTGAGATCAAGATGCGGACGTAAGTTCGTTGAAAGTCGAAAATCACACCAACGGCATAAAGAAAAGAGAAATGAACTATATACAGAGCAGCAGCAGTGGCAGCATCAGAACGAATGAGCCAACGAGAATGGAATAAAAGAAACGTTGAAAATTGGGCCAAACGATAATGATTATGGCACGATGTGTGTTTGTTGTGTGAATGGCTTGTGGTGGCCCGTACAAAATGTGAAATTAAAATACGGCATTTGAAGCGGCTCCGCTTTGTCACCTCCTCACTCTCCCCACTTTGTCATTTGACGTTGCCATTTTGACAGAAGGCGAACGCACACACATACGATGAATATGCGAACGCTCGAGGACAATTTATATATGCTAAGAAAATGAAATACCGCGTGAACGTGTATATTTGCTGGCATTACGAAAACTATTATAAAGTTCATTGTTAACGATATGCTGACATTCAATTGAATCCCCAACACTTGTCCGGTTGTTCGGGGTGTACAATTCAACAAAAAGCGAATGATCGCATTGTGTTCACCACATGCATACACTAGGACGCGCACAAACATTCACATCAGCAAGCTTGCCGCTTATTTTTGGCATTACGATTTTCTGGGAGAGCAAAACTCGCTCTGTACGCTTCGCTCGCTCTATCGTTGTCTCGATGGCGTTGTGTGAAATTTGAATTGAACTGTATTGTCGTTGGCATAAGTGAAGGTTGGCTAGTCGATGCCATACACACCAGCATCTCGACATGAAATTAATTGCTTATTTGTGAAGATAATACTATCTCCAACAAATGTGAACATCCTTCGATTTGCCGAGTTGAAAATCTCACAATCTCAACGCCTGTGTCGCCCATATCCAACCCCATCTCCCATCTCTTCAGTCTTATTTTGCCGAGCTCAAACGCTTATTAGCTGCACCGAATCAACCCGAATTTCATGATTATCACACACACACATTACCCGTCCGCCCAGCACCCCTTCAACAAAACCGACACCATCCAAATGCACTGCCATTTCAATGAAATGGTCATTAATGCAACATCATTATTACATGTTGTTCGTTGCAGTTCGATGCAAACGATTGTATTCTGTTGTCGTTTTTCTTTCCATCTCTCTCTGCCTCTGTTGCTCTCGTCTTGAGCACATGTGCCGTTCTGTGCGTTGTCATTTAACCGTCGAACATAAAATTTTGCAAATTAATCCACTTACGTTGTGCATGTGAGCATATTTGTTGTGCGTCGGTGGCGGGATGAATGCTTGATGTTGTTTCTGTTGCAGGGTCGCAACAGCATTTGGTGGCAGTGTCATCGTGTCTATCATTCCGTCAGTTGACGGTTGTAGTGTGAGATGAGGGAATGGATGCGGTATACGTTGCTATATTGTGGATGCCATGTTTAAAATAAAGATACGGAAAAAATGGGATAGAAGAAAAGAAAAAAAAACGATACGAAGAAGAAATAAGAAAATGTAAAAACGAAAATCTTAAAAAATCACCACGGATTTCGCACGAAAATGCCAAACATAAATGTCAACTAATACTCTCGACTCGTTCGTTTGCTCTCTCTCTCTCTCTCTCTCTCTCTCTCTCTCGCTCTCTCTCTCTCTCTCTCTATGTGTAGCTGTTATTGACTCCTTTTTTTCTCTCTTTCTCGTCAAGTTTACACACGAAAAATGAATGTTCAGACCGGCTCATGTTAAACCTCGAACAAGCGAGTGGTGGCAAATGGCAGAACGAAACTTACAAAACGAAAATTGAATCTGTCACTTGCAAAATGTTTCTTTGTAAACATTTACTTTGGCGAAGAAGGAATATTTCATCGGGACAAAGTGATATGCGCGTGAATGATATTAATTGAACAAGTGACTGAAAGTTAAATTAAGCCATCAAAATGAAGCAAATTCATTCATTTGTTCGCTTTGATTCGCGTTAGTTCGGATTTTACTGAAAGTTTGACTAGTTTACATTGTCCAATATTTTATGAACGAGTATATTTGTTCTTTTTTCCGTTTGTGTGTGTGCGTTCTTTTTATTTATTCTTCGAATTCTATCTGAACATTCGATCGGTGGATGAGAGGTAGAGAGCAAGAGAGAGAGAGAGAGAGAGAGAGAGAGAGCGAGAGAGAGAAAGAGAGCATTCCGAATCGATGATACCAGGCAACATGGCATGCAAACTCATTAAAATATCCATAAAAATAATCTCAAAGTTCAACAAATCATTGTCGATGTTGTGCACCGATTCTCGGGCTTTCTCTCTCTACCGAACAATCTATCTATCTGTATATTACCTGAGCGTAAACGTTTGGCCATGGCTGGGTTATTACATCTTTTGGTATAAACAATGTATTCGAATTAAATGTACTAAGCGCATTTTGTTCAGCAACGGCTGTTGTCGCATAAATTCTCGGATGATTGCTATTATTTATCCATTCGAAACCCTTTTCATCCTCTTCCTTTTCGTTCAGTGTTGTTCCTGTAATTTGCGCACAGCAAAATGATTTTAAAGGGAGAGAGAGAAGAAAAAGAGAAGAACAAAATGAATATCATCTATAAAAAAAAAATGGAATGTGTAATTTATATTTATGAATCTTTCATACGATGTTTTTAATTTTGAGCTTTTATTTTTTTTCTTGTTGGGTCTCTTGCTCTATTATTACTGTTATTATCGTTGTTGACTATTGCATTTTGTTGAGCATGTAATTTGCTGTTAAAGTTAATCAAAAACTTATTTCAAGTGTATAGAAAATGTGAAGCTGTAAATAGATGACATCACATAGAAAAAACACAACCGAACCGAATCGACCATTGAGATCGAAAAAAAAACTAATCTGTTTTGCTGCTAACCTCAACTCTCTGATAAAGTACAATGAGTAAATTGAACGCCAAACTTTTTACTCATTCTTTGCTGAACAATGTCTCCACTCTATATGTATCTTGTCCGTGGTGGTTCGGTTAAATTCATTTGAAAATTGCAAAGTGCCAAGAAACCAAACAAAGAAGAAGGACGACAAGACGATGACAAGAATGGTATGAATGAATGCAGCGAAAATGGTATAATCGAAAATGAAGAAGCATATGAAAAGAAAATTGAAAGGATGAAAAAAAAGGAGAATGCAAGTAAATTTTACCTTGAGGTATGATATCGGGATTCTTTTCCATACTTTCATTGCTGTCCGCACATAAATCACGTGCAGCTTCTTGTGATGATTGTAATGTACGTTGTGTGCTGAGTGCATATGCGGCAGTTTCACAGCGATCACTACTGCCGCCCGTCGATTGATCGCCCATTACATCATTCGTACTGTTGCCACTACGATTGGCGCGCTTTCGAATGACAAACACAACGATGATGGCGGTTAATGCAATCGCACCCGCACAACCGAACAGCAAAAATGGCAGAAATGTTTTTAGATTGGCAAGCGTTGGTGTTGCTGCCGCCAGCAATGATGATGTATCGGTTTGTTTTTGTGGATTACTCAGTGTAAACACTTGACGTATCGTTGAATTGCTGCGACCTTTTGCATTTTGTGCGATTAAAAATACGCTGTAGCCAATACCTGAATTTAACTTTTGAAGATCGAAATATGGTGTACTGTTGTTGTTGTTGTTGTTGTTGTTATGGTTGAGTGCGTCCCGAAAACCAAAACGATGAGAGAGTGTTTTTTCGACAACACGAAAAATGCCGAAATTCAAATTGCACAAAAGAGACATTTATCCGATAAGTGCGAATGCAAATGCAACAAAATACACACAATAAAAAGGAAGATAAAGAAAGAATGAACACTTTTTAGTATACTTGAAAATCGTCAATTGTCGTCGTTACCCCGTCGCCGCCTCACTATTCGTCCAGCAATTTATTTCGTGTATGCACTTCGAATAGATTTTCCTTTTGCAAACAATCACACTTTCACTTGAGCAAACAGTTACAAAAAGCGACAGCAGCAGCAACAGCAAGTGCAAAATGTTCAACAGTTTGTCTTCAATAATTTACATTTTTCGCCATAAGATTTACGCTTCAGTCAAATCTATTTTCAGACATTTTGCATGCTTGCTACGGCCGCTGCTACCCACCGTTGTCAATGCGCTATGCGCTCTGTCTCTCCACCAGCACAGAACATTCGTTCATGTGCTGACTGAGATGGCTCCAGCAACACCATAATACACAACTTTGCCGACACTGGTCGAAGTTTTCAATTGAAATCAAAGGGAAATTTATTCGAATGCTTTTATTTTAGTTTCAATTCGGAGGGATAGATAATTACAAAGAATGAGAAAAGTTTTTCATCCTCTTTTCCAAAACCCGAACAAAGGGCGCCGAATAGCATGGAAAATGCGCGCACACCAACGGGACCGACAGAAAGAATGAAAGAAAAGGGCAAAACTTACTTTGACTTGAGTATTATTGGGTTCTGCTTTTGGCCATTGGCATACGCTTCCAAAATGAACTCTTGTGGTAGACCGCCTGTAGTAATGGTGGCAATAGATGCAGGAGTGAAAGAGAGATGGATAGAGATAGAGAGAGGGATAGAAAGATACAATGCATTAGTAATGAGTGTAAAAATGTTGCAAAATCATTGAAATTTGCTGATGCCTTTGCGTATTGAATTTCTTAGACACCGAAAATGTGGAGGGCAATGACGACGGATGCGTCGACAATGATAATGATGATGATGATGATGATGGGAACAACACGGTAGAGCGTGAGAAATTCGCCGCAGGCATATTTCACACAGATAACACAGTTTTTCTCTATGTGTATCTATGTATGTATGTGTGTGTATGTGTGTGTGTGTTTGTCTCGAAACAAAACCCACAGCCTTGAAATTTTAATGAAAATCCGAGTCAGTTTTTGCGGAGGGAGGGAAGATTACTTTCGACTATTAGCGACACCAGAGAAAAGAGATACAAACCATCAAATCCTTCGGTGCATTCAATTTGGAATCCCGTATACGTATGATTCAATACCGTGCAATTACTTAATGGATCCGGTTTGCCTAAAAATACAAAAGCAAAATTGACAGTTATTAATAAGCGAAAATACGTTGGGACGCATTATATTCGTACGTGACGGTTCCATTTTGATAAACACGAGATACGCATTTTCGAATAGCATGGAACGTACAAAAAAAAACAATGTGCGTTACGCATAAACCATATACTCTTTCGTTGGCTATTATTACAGGTCACCATCGCTGTGTTAGAAATGCGAAAGCTTTTGCATTAGAATCATGTATTCTTGCCGCATTTTGCACACTACTTAGTTAGATGGTTCCAATGTCAAAAACTAATCTGTTTTTACCGGCCCAAAATGATGATATTGATTTTTTTCTGCAACAAACCACATCACCATCGACGGCGATTCAATTCAATTCAGATGGCGATGCATTTTGACTTGGCCATTTGGTTCAAATATGTGCCAATTGTGAAAATACAATAACATACACAGACAAACATCGATGTTGTGCATAAATTTAAATCACATACTAATTGATAAGACTTCACCATAACGAGTTCAATCAAAACGTTGTTGATTGGGTAGAATAACAAGCAAAATTGTAATTAAAAGAGAATTAGACACATACAAATACACGTATAATACAGATTTCAGTTATGCACTCACACACACACACACATACACACATGCAAACAACATTTGGAACTCTCGTGCAAACAACTTTAGTTCCTAATTGAAACCGATATTTAACCCAATTTCCAAATCACTTAGTTTCAGTTTTTCGGTTTTGGGATAAGTTTCGAATGCAGAATGTGAAAGCATTTGGCTCAATCTCTCTCGCTCGCTGTCGTTCGCTCTTGCACACTCAATCGCAACCGTCGATGGAGGGCTGCAAAGCACTCACCGAATCGAGCATTATGCACAGAACAGAGACAAGAAATGTAACTATCGCTGAACCAGCATGTAATTGTAATTAATATGTATGATATTCGTAAATCGTTTGAATTGAGCAGTTTTGAACTGAAGCATAAAATAACAAGTGCGCATTATCCGAATGTGCTGTTTGCTGAATAGGACGACCGAAGAGACGGAGTCGTGATAGGAGACCCGAATTCCGTGCAAGTTCATTCGCAATGAAAATGAGCCATTGATTTTTAGTGTCGATAGTTCATTAGGTTTTTGCTTTTGTTGGGCTATGCTTCGACAAACCGTCGCAATTTAAGCGGGTCAGAAGAAACTGGTGAAAATGTGCAGAAGATGAATGTCTTGTGGACGCGTTCGTAATATCGTTGTGATTGCAACCAATTACAAACACACAGACACACACACATGCACACACGAACGGACGTCGCGGACGGATGAATGAAACAATCGATTGTCGAAACAAACGATGGATCATTTTTTAGACGATGCTTGCCTTGCTGCCGACACAACGGTTTGAAATGGCTTTATTGTAGTGATAATTTTCACCAATTAATTCTCGGGCACGAAAAGAAAATGTATGTAAATCACAAAATGAATGAGAGAATGAATATCAATTAATTTTAAGGTTTACAGCGGAATCTGTTGCCATTTGTGTGTCTCAAAATCCGATTCTATAACCCCTTTTTTGCGTCGTCGTCATCGTTGTCATCATCGCTGTCGGATTTTTTGGAGAGAGAGAGAGAGAGAGAGTGCAAAAGAGAGTAGATAAAATTCGAGATGCGAAAACCGAGATCATTGTTACTGTGCGTCCATATACGCGCGCTGCCGAAATGCCGCCTACATGTGGGTATATGTTTAATAATGTGAACGATAATTGTCGTCTTTAATGTGCTAAAAGTTTTATCGCATGCTTTTGGCATATTTTTCTTCTTTTTCTGTTTCGAAACATGAATGGGCGCTTATTTGTAAATTTTCCTGTTAAACAATCTGCCGAGATTTCGCGTTAAGTGTTTAAATCTGTTTGATTACTTTAATGAATCTTAAATGAAGGCAATAAAGACAACATTGCAACATTGAACCGAAAAGATTCGAAGAGAGAGAGAGAGAGAGAGAGAGAGAGAGAGAGAGAGAGAGAGAGAAAAGGAGCTAGGTTGAGAGCTAAACAATTCAAAGAAAGAAAGGAAAGGAAAAAACAGCAACAACAAAGAATGAAAATTATTAAAACGCACTGAGTGTATTTGTGTGCGTCGACAAAGCAAACGTCGTAAACGACGTAACACGGTAAAAACAACAGCCTGAATTTTTCATCACACATTTTATATAAGCCTTCATCTTTTTTGCACTCAGCCTACTTGTTTACTTGCTGTCTGACTGCCGTGCATGCCACACGACGAACTTTGTAACTTTCTTCTTCACCTGAACGCGTCAAGTTAATAAATACAAATTGTTGATATCGACCCCCCGGAGACAGAGCAATGCATCGCATCGCATCGCACGATTATTGTGTGTGTGTGTGTGTGTGTGTGTGTGTGTGTATGCACGCGAGCGATCAAGTGAGCGTGCAAGAGTGGGCCCCATGCGCCCTCTCATTTGCCCTCTTGTGTACGTGTGCCAAACACTTTGGGTTGAATGGAAAATTTCTACACCACTTGTTTAATCTTCTGATTGTGTATCAATTAAACACTTCGAAGTTACATGAAAAGAGAAAAGAAAGAAAGAACACGGAACGAATGAAGTGGGTAGAGGGAGAGAGCAAAGGAGAGAGAGAGAGAGAGAAACAGAAGCAACAACATATACAAACTTTATGCAAATGTTGATTACATCGAATTACGTTTGGAAAACGATGGCTGTGACAATGCCAAGGATAACAACATCAACTGTGAGTAAAAGCTTAAATGAATGCATAGTTGATGGAATATTGATGCATTGCCGTTTAATAGCAACCAGCAACAACAGTGGCAGCATCGCTTCTGAAATGGCTCTGATAAAACGCAGCGTGTTTGGGTGTCATTAGTGACCCTTTTTATTCAGACACAACACAGTCGCACACTCAAGCACAGAGACACACACAATGTGAAATTTGATTGAAATGATTTGATTAGTGCCATTGTCTTACACCCATTTGAGCACACGCAATGCGCTTCACGACCATTATCATGCTATACGTCGCACACACACAAAATTCGTTTATATGTACGTGGCAAAGTACGCATTTTCAAAAGCATTCTCGTGCTTCTTCTTCTTCTTCTTCTTTTTCGTTACTTGTTGAAAAGATAAAAGAAACTCTTTTGCCATTCATCTTGTATGCTTTTGAATGTGCATTCTGTCGTTGTCGTTGTTGACTAAGTACTTGTTGACTAACATACTCTTCGGCTCACCGTGTTCTAAAGTAACGCACTTGAAAGTTCAACAAAGCACACCATTGTGTCTCTCTTTCTATTTCTCTCTCTCTCTCTCTCTCTCGCCGATGTGAAGTGGACGAGACGACAATGGCAACAAATGACAACATTCTCTTGTGTCTACAATCTCTCCCACTAATGTCATTGAACGAAAATTTTCCAGTAAAATTGGCTGTGTGTGTGTGTGTGTGTTACCCGATCATGCACATCATCAAAAGAATTGATTCAATTGAAGTTATCAGCCCGCACTGATCTTTGTTCATTTAATACATACTTTCGACTGAAAGCACCGAACACACATACATACACTTTTCTATTATGGTAACAATTTATTAACTTGTATTAATGGCGATCAACAGTTTCGCAGCACCTCGCTCAAAAATAGATCACTCTCCATTAATAAATAATGCTGTCGACGAATTGTATTCAATTATGGAAAATATGGAAAGGAAAATTTGCTGTATTTTCAAGCACGACTCAATTTAACGGCATACGATGATGACGACAACAGTAGGAAAGAAAGAAAAAAACAACAACCAAAATCGACGATAAAAACCAGATTCTAGTTGAGGTGAAACATTTCATTTTATTAGACGAGGTGAGTGTGTGCCAAAAATGGAAAGCAGGTTGTAATCACGACGTAACATGCGCTCAGTACGAGCTTGAACATGTGATTGTCGACGAGAGCAAAAGAGAAAAAGGAGGAGAAAAAAACCGAAGCAAGCACATGGCGGCAATCATTTGTCAGGCTGTAAAAAAGTCGATTTTTCATTCGTATAGTGTAATGTAACTTTCTTTTAGTTATTTACTTTTTTCTAAATGGATTCGTCTTTGGGCTGAATGAAACGAACATCAAGAGAGAGTGCAGAAAAAAAAACTTCAGTGCACGAAAGAGTGTAAAAAAAAGGAAGAAAACCAACATATACGCGAAGCACACGAAAACTGCAATGATCCAATGAAAAAGTTTTTTTTTTGCAATTGTCGTTTTATTCACATTACATCGAGCTGGCTAGCGAAAGAACATTTGGCAATGCGAAGCGGAGAAGTAACGGGACGAAATAGACACACAGAGAGAGAGAGAGTGTGAGTACAGAGTAGTACACGCGAGTAACCCAGCAAACACGAAAACACCAAAAGTATTAGAGAGCAAGAGAGAGACAGAGAGAAAGACCCACATGTAATCGGGTAATCAGAAATTGGTTGCAATTCAAGCGGCAGCGGACAATCAAAAACTCTTCTCGACTCTCTAATCGGTAGCAGGTGGACTGGAAAGCATTTGATTCGATTCATTTCGATATTCGATTCTATTGGATTGGAAGAACAAATAAGTATAAACATCAATTTTCCAATTTCAGTGCTTTCGGGTATGAAGCAAATGTAAACCGTAAATACATTACAGTTATTGTTACTGTGTGATGCTTTTCGCTTCTTCTTCTATTGCTAGTACGCTTTTTTGGCCTCCCTATACACTGCTTCGGTATGGTTTTTTTTTGTTCGAATCTTTTTTTTTTCTTTCTCTCTCCTCTGGTTATGTAGTTTGAATCGAAATTTGGCATTTGCTCAATGGGTATGTGCGTATGTGTGTGAGCTTTTGCTTGTATTTGCATTTGAGCTATTGCGAAACCGTTTTACCGTTTCCGTGTGTACGGGTCTTTTTTTTTTCTCTCTCGGATGGCAAAATCAAAATTGCTTTCGTAATATTTGTTTGGTACAAATA